CTTTCAACTGAGATCTGGGATTCTCAGATGCTGACATTACAGAACCACGTGTATTAAAAAGCCAGAGCCAGGTGGGAGCCAGAGAAAGAAAGCAGATAGGATTTYCCAGCCACCAGTGACTGACAAATGAAGGTGATCAGATTTCCTGGGATCCCCTCGCAGACAAAGCCTGACCTTGAGAACCTCCTCAAAGCAGCTGCTACATYTGTGAGTTCCAGATGCAACTGTTCCAGCAACAGAGGAATTATCAGGGAACTGTTTAAAGAAATGCAAGGGCTCAGACTAATCTCTAAACAGAACTTAAATAGGCTGAAGCACTAACATTTCTGAGCAGCTTATTAAACAAGTGCACAGATGGCTAACACTCCTGTAACTCTGACCTTGAAAACAAAACTGACTCCAGGTTTAGATATCCCTCTCTTTCCCATTGACTGAATGCACTTACGTGGTGTGTTATGAAATTATAAATTCTTCGGTGCACAATCTCCATTTCTTTAAATTCTGGGAGTTCTTACTCTTTAAAACCAGCAGGGTTATGAAGTATTCAAGCTGTAGGCTGTACCTACCTGTCTGAAATGAACTCCAGCATTTACTATAGAAACATGGTGTTTACATTGTTTAGTGCTTTTTGCTACCACTGAAAGCTCTGCCACTGATCTATGGAGTGACATCCCTTCACTGAGAATGCTGCTCTTTGGAAGAGAGCCCTTTCTTATCCTCTCAGGCAGGGGCAACTCTGACCCAGGTTTCACTCTTTAAACATGGCTATTGTGCAAGATCCTTCAGGACCACGGGAAGACTCAAGCTGCAGAGACACAGTACTTTTCCTTAATCCGTTCTGACTCATCACTTCATGGGAAGCAGTGGAAGGTGGAAACTCAAAGTCAACCCCAGCACAAGGACCTAAATTACTTCATAAATCTGAGTAACAATTTTGATAGAGATATTAGTGAAAATGAAATGCATTATTGCAAGAATTTTCTGCCAGGGAATAAAAGCAAGTGCAGAGCCCATATATTTGGGGGCAGGGAGGAGGTGTGGGAAGGGAAATGTGTCCACTATAGCCTAAGAAAATAAAATTCATCTCAAGGAACAGGAAAGGATATACACATCCATAATGTAATTTCTTCCTCACCCTGATAGCCACTTTTTAAAGCAAATAATTATGTTGATGAGCTAATTCCATTACTGCCCATCACAGTGAATAATATTGCCTGACTGTCCCTTTGYAATGCTTTTTACCATCTACACACTGCCTTCCATCTTGTTGATTGATGGCTCTTTGGGTCAGGGATTGTCTCAGGATTACATTTTGGCTATGGGTCTGTGCTTCAGGATGGGGAACTATAAAAAATACCTTGTTCTGTAAGCTCTCCATGTTCTGAGTTTACCAGCATYCCAAGCTTCTGCAAAACTATCAGAAAACCTTCTTGTGCAGGAGGAGCTATGCAAGGACTAGAAATCCTTTAGTAACAGTAACTAATAGCCATTCTTTTTGAGCCACACAAGAAATGCAGAGAGAGCATAATGTGTCCTACCAGGACAAAATAACTAGACATGATAGGGTATTTGGGAATTGTCTTCATTATTTTTTGATGAGCAATACTGCTATCTAAACTGAGAAAGAGTCCTATCAATCATATTTACAAGCAATTTTTATAAACAAGTGTTCCAGATTTTCAGAGAAAAATAGAGAAGTAAACACTGACAAAAAACTGACACAACTAGAGTTTTGATTTAAATAGGATTAATTACTCAGCAAACACTGTAAGAAAGACTGCTAAGCTACTTCAGTAATTTAAATTGCAATCAAGACACTAAAATTGTTTTTTAAATTGTCTCGGTGGGAAGTAGACAATAGAAGTGCTAGGTAGTATATAGGGAAATAGATTAGAAAGAAATAAGAAAAGCAAAGAGAAGATTGAGAAGAGAGGGACACCTGAAGTCCTGCAAGCTGTTTGTTCTTCTCCCTGAATTAGAAAGAAACAAATGAAAAGGCCTGAGCCCTCTCCTGCAGCAGCTCCTGCCACCTTGATGTCCAGTGTCAAGGGCTGATGAACAAGGCGACATTATCAGGGCAGTTTTGCCACCTACTTTCAAAAGTAGCCAAAGTCAGCTCTCCTGGAGCCCTTCTGAACTCTCTGAGAGGTTTTGTTCGTGCTCCCAGCTGCAGCAGTCATATATTGTTTGAATGATGTGTCCTTCCTGCATGTTCCCACTTGGCCAGCTGACCATGAAGAGACACTCAGCAACAAAGCTATTCACTGCAACAAGATGCTTCACTCGAGAAATTCTGAAGCTGAGGTATGATCTGAAATTGTGCATCCATCTTAAAGACTTAACTGTCAGGATGAAGCGATCTGTAGTACAGAAGACAGAAAAGTAGTCTAATATTCATACGTTATTTTTATTATGAATATATAAGCCCATGCACCTTCTTACATCCACAAGCAGCACTTGGGTTTTATGCCACTTCTGTTCCTTGAATGGCTTACTGGTCTAGATTTTAAATCAAACACCATTTCCTTAAAAAGTAAATGATGAGCCGTCAAACAGAAATGTTTACTCATACTCAAACATATGATTCAGAGTTCTGTTTGCAAGAACAAGCAGAATCAGGAATTTGAGAAGACAAACAGCTGAAATACTGAATATTAACAACTGACCTGTGAGCTGCCACCCAGAGCTCGCAGAGTAACTCAGTAGGTGGCATACCCATTTTACATTAGGAAAACAAATCCAACCAATCCTTTTCATTGTAGGAAAAGCAGAACACTGGAAAAACAAAGATGTCTTCTCAAATGGAGATTTTTTTTTTTTTTTTAACATCAGGCGTATCATTCAGGATTGGAGTACCTTGTTTTTAGCAATCACAGACTTGTTGAGGTTTCTTCCATCCCTGAAAACTAGTCATACATAGCTCACTTCTCTTTTCTGTCTGYGCTGGTTCACCTTTCTATAGATACATATTATTCAGATTTTTGAAAGTGAATTAGCCTGATGTATGAAGTGTTGATAGTCTTATCTTATCTCGAATAAAAGGACATCAGTGTCATCAGGTGGAAGCAGTGGGGGAGGGAATACATCCAGATAGTATTACAGAATGTCTGCATGTTTTTAAGTCGGTGGTGTAAGGTTTTTCCAACAGTTGGCAGGTGATAGACAAGTCAGTCCTTAACTATCAGACAAGTCTTTTCTTCATGATGGCAGCTTCACAGAGATGGAGGAAAGATGTGTACATGAAGGAGAAAACACTAGATTTTCTTCTGGTTTAGATCAATTCTCTCAATTTGTTAAACACAGAGSAAAACACCAAATCCTCTGTTTTAATAGTCTACACAAACTAAATAACCACCAAATAAGTGCTTTGGATTCTGCAAGACTGCTCAAAAGTGTGACACATAAATGAAGATAGCATTTCAAGCATATCATAGCTGAAGATGCTCATCCTCCCCAGATTAGGGTTTTACATTTTAGCATGAAGGTTTGTACTTTTTCACTGTTCCCTAAAGGCCTCTTTCACCCAATCATTTCAGCATGTTGATAATGACAGCCAAGTAATGTAATGAAAATAGAAGGCAGCTGGTAAAATAATCCTGGACGTCATCCAGATGCAAGTGAAGCATGAGTATCTAATTCATTAAGGGAGTGGGAGGATTAGGGTGGTGCTGAGCACCTATTCTGTTTAATTTGACATTCCATTAATTTAATCTCTCAGTGGACAGGACGGGAGGTGCAACATAATTATAGTTCAGAATCTGGCATGTCTGAAGACTTATCAGTTTTGAGGCAGTTGTTGGGGGGAGTATTGCAAGAGAGAAGAGCAGACTTTGTGCTCRCTGTACCAATACACTTCAGTATTAAACTGCATGTGGCACTGGTGAAGTTCTCCTTGGAGATCAAAGACACTGCCTCCATATGTCAATTGACTTTTCAAGAGCCTTGAGAGCAGAAACTTCCAAGGATGCTTTACAAGGTGACTCTATGTTGTATCAGACAAAACAGCTGCTTTAACACCTAGGTGGAAGATGCAGGATCGGATCCTAAATTTTTTCTCAGAGTGAGCAGCATTGCTGARAATGCAAACCCCTGTTCCCAGTGAGCCTCTTTTCTTGCACAGCTACTCAGTCATAATGATTCACCAACCAAACTCTGCTCTGAACAAATGTTCAGCTGCAGGAAATCCACAGGCCCTGTTCTGACATACATTCAGCCTGAGCAAGCAGTGTGTACATCCCACCTCTGAACCACCACTCTGAAACATGCAGGACATAGCACTGTCACAGGATCTCTTGGGAAAAAGAAACTTCAGAAAATAACTGCCCCCTCACCTCTAAGTATCAAAATTAATGACCACGTTTTACAAGGGCTCTCAAAATACATCAGCAGTTGGGGAATCTGAGAGTTTGGAAAGATGTTCCCAATGACTTACAACTATAAAAACAAACTCTTTAACGCCTCTCACTCCAACTTACATCTCACTTGAAGACATATCAGATTCTATGTCTTTGTTAAAGAGGTAGATGGGTGCAAAGATATGTAATAGGAACCCCCGCTTGCATGTTTCTCACAGAAAAATTGACATCTTGATACYATATTGATTTAGTCTATTGGACACTACTGGCTATCCCAGGTGCAGTGTTAAACTTAGAGAAAAGCTGACTCATTAAAAATGACAAAAACACAGTACCTAGACATTTAGATGCAGACAAACAAGACAGACCTTTTAACTGCATTTCAATTTAATCAGCTGAGGGCTGGCAGCCAGATGGACAGTATTAGAGGCAGACACACTCAGTTAATTCATACAGCAAACAAAGCATCAGGAACTTGTCATCACTGTCTGTTGGGTCCCGTATCTGCAGGAGTCAGAGCCCTCCTGCATTCAGATTGTAGCCTCTGGCAGGGTGACGAAGGGAAGTGATTGTTACCTTTGGTCCTGCAGTACATTTAAGGGCCTGCTGGAACCAAATCAAGACATTTCAAGAGGTAAAACCCACCTGGCAGATGAAACCAGTGGATGAGCACTGCCGAACCCAAAGACTGAATTTCCTCTTTTTCCTCTTGCGCAGCTCCCTCTCTGTGCATGTAGCAATGAAAACAGGATCCTCGTCAATCAGGGGCTCATGTAGTACCTGCAAGTGGCAAGAAAAGAGGCAGGGAAAGAAACAGAAGAATACATGATTGCTAAAGAAATGGTGCTTTGACTTCTTTCAAGGAAATACAGCCTAGCACTGTGCTTGTGTGCATCACCCCAAACCAAGAAGCAAACCCACTTTTGTTTGATGCTACTATCCAACAAAAATGAAAGCCTGGCCAAGCTCACTCCATTATGGATAGCTGCTCTACATGTGGTTTGCAAACACTGCAAGGCACAGAGCTCACTTCTCACTATCAGCTGCAAACATCCCTCCAAAATGATGCGGTAGATGGGGCAGGGAGAGTGGATTGTTAGCAGCATCCTTCTCCAAGCTTCATCATAAGCTTTATCTTGTTTGGCAGAATGTCTTCCCACAAACATCCCCTACAATATGTTGTAAAGTACACTCCCTGGTTACGGCAAAGGAAAACACATAGTAGAGAGAGAAGTTAAGGGAGAAAAAAGATATTTTCGATTGTCATTTAAGGAGGTGGTAAAGAGACAGAAAATATTTTTCCTGGCACCAGCAGCTTCAGGGGAGTCTCTCTTGCCTCAGGAACTGAAAAATTTGAAAAAGAAGACAAAGATAAAGCACCAGAGGCAGGAATAGAAAAAGACAAGGCAGACTGGAGCAAGTAATGAATACCTGTGAAAGTGGAGCAGTTTCTGCACTCTGCATCCAAATGATGTAAGTGGTTCCTTGTTCCTTATAACTATTTTGTAACAGTTCTCTCCATTAATTCAGCAGCCAAACTGTTAGGTATCATCATGTGGAACTCACCTATGGAAAAATACTAGTATCTTCCCACAGCTCACAGGTAGCTCTGCATAACGTACACACGGTGTGCAAATTGCCTGACAGGTCACTTGTTAAAGTACAAAGACTTGCAAACTGTTGAAAGGTCTCAGCTGATGAATGCTGACCAAAATCAGCCACGTACATCTAAATCAGAGCAAGTCACTGCAGGCTCCCCTCCTTGTACATGAGGGGAAAGCAGTCCCAGCAGGCAGTAATTCATACCCTTGTAAAGACATGTAAAATAGTCAGATGGGTTACAATCTAAAGGAGGCTGTTCTTTTCTCACCTTCCCTCCAGGAAACAGGCTCAGATACAGGTATGCTGAGGCTCTCATGCTCAGACCAAATCTTTCCATGCCTGCATGAATGCTACTTTTGTACTCATCTGCACATAGTCAGTGGAGAGAAATGAGAACAAAGCTGCATTACACCTGGTCTCGATGCTCGTAGGAAAGATGTGGTGGGTGAGGAGTTAAACACCAGAGAGGAGCAGCTGTTGGTTTCCTAAAGACAAGATGTTTGCTGAACGTCACTCTGTCAGCCCAAAATAGGCACCCATGCCCTCCCCACACAGTGATGGCTGCACACTGTCATTTATATGCACTCCACTTCTTAACGACTCATGAAACATTCACAGGACCATCTGAAAGCACTCTTGTGAAATGTTCAAATTATACACCAAAATGCAGAAGCGAGCAAGGAGAGCTGCACACAAAACTACTTGTTCTTCCAGCTGCAGCTGCCCTGTTTCCCCATTGAAGCCAAATCTTCTTCCTCTCTCAAGGTCCACATAGARCACAGCCATTCCTTTCTAAAGGCCATCTGGGGCACTTCCCACTTCCACCTCAGAGGATTCTGACAGCATTTTGCAAATATTAAGTGTGCTCTCATTCACTTTTGCCATTCTGCCTTTCATAAACCAAGGGAAGAAGCACATCCTTTGGGATAGGGTTGGATTTACATATTCATGGCAAGAACCATTTCATTCCCAGGGGGGGTTATCAAACTACTTCCACCATTGAGTGCTAACTGTCCCAGGACTGTCCAGCCCTTCAGCATTTTCTGGGGTGGTTTCATCTACCAYAATATCGGTGGAACTGCTGATCCCCATTTTGTTTTCAAAGAGAGCAATTTGTTGCTTCTGGCATTGACATGATGTTTTTAGGACAAAAGTTAGCCCTTTGCTACTGGCCCATCCTATTGGTTCATTCACCCTCCTGCATTCTCAGTTTCCTTACTCTTTCTGTAATCTCAAATCCATCTATTCAACAAACCCCCATGCAAAGTGATATTTGTTCCCTCCTTATTCCTCACTCTTGCTGTTTCTCATTTTACAAGAGTGATCTTACTGCCCCCATGGCATATTCTTTCTTGCTTCTCATCTTCCTTGACAAGAATCTACTTTCAGGCTTAATTGACTTTTCCACCTGGCCACCTCTTCACCATCTTTTACTCACTCTCCAAGTGCTCCCCACTTCCTATTCAGGCTTCCTTTGATGCAAGATACCTTGTGGATCTCTTCACAGAAATCATCCCCATTTTTTTCTCTCAAACTCCCAGTTCTGTTCGGGTCTAAGAAACTCCTCATCTAGTTGCTTTGCTCTGCCACAGCTATCACACTGTTTTCTTTTCTTCCTCTTCTTCCAGGGATAAGTCATCCTTATCCCTGATAGATCTACCTGCCTAACTTTCACTCTTCGTTTCCTCCTCAATGAGCATTTGCACTCCAAGTGTTGCAATTGCTCCATTTCACAACATCTTTCACTCACAGAACAAAACAATAGCCACTGTCAGGAGAGCCTTTCTTTCTTCTCCATTTTAGATCATTTCCAATACTCTTTCCATGTCAAAATTCCATCCATCCATCCTGCTCTCACCAGAGCCCAAACAGGCTTRTATACAAAGCCCAGAATCACTAAGTCCCTGGTATTTGGAATTCTTGGACTCCATTTAGTTATATAATGAATCAATATATCCTCGAGACATCTTCCCCTTAGCTCCACGGCCATCCACAATACAGGCTGTCTCTTCAGTCTCTCAGCCTCTGCTTGCCTTGTCTCTGGCTTTTGCTGGGTACCATCCAGTGCAGAGTTCCTTGGGTAGCTGCACCTGTGTGTACTCAGTCAGTCATTCCTCCTGCTGTAGCTTGTGCTTCTGCCTCTTTGCTCCAAAGCTTCTCCTGTCTGATCCAAATTCTCTTGCTGATGTCTGACATCTCTGCTTAGACATYTAGCTGTCAGTTCTGATTTCATTATGCTGCATTTGAGATTGTCGCCCTTCCCTTTAGAACACCCTAATATCTCCTTTTTTGGTCATTGCAGACAACCCTCTCCTCCTGTTGCAAATGTTACTGGCTAGTGAACCTGAACGTCAGTCTTTACCTCCTACTTGCAAAATCTTCTCAGCCAGGAAATGCCTGCATTTTCCACACTTTCTGAGTAAGAGCTCTAAAATGGCAATCATTTAAGAGTAACAACTCACCCACCCAGACAAATTTACAACCAAAACCATTACAACCAAAAAACAGCTTTACTCAACATAAGGCAATCTTGCCCTACGGACCACTGCTGGAAAGCCATTTTCTTAGTCACTCACACTGACCACATCTCTTTCCTTTATTTCTCTCTTATAGTTCCTTTCCAGCATATCAGACAGACTCTTTCTCTTTTCGAAGTCCTGCTTAGCCTGTCCACATTTTACAGATCCTCTTTGCCATTAAAGGTTAACTCTGACCTCCACTGGAGCCACGATTCCATGCTCCTCTACCCATTTGTTCAGTCTTCAATCAACCCTCTTAAAAAACAAAAAGTCAGTTCTTACAGCACTCCATTACCATGAGGTAATTTAAAAATAGCAATGAAGTTTCATCATTTTCTGTTGCCAAACCCTCCCTAAAACCTGGCTCCACCAAAGGATCAACTGGCCAAGAGCTACAGGACATCAGAAATTTACATTGCTGTTCAATATTATTATTGCTCCTCTGTCTGTCTTTCTCTTGCTCCCCATCTTATACTTGGCCACTATTCTCTGAATATTTATTTATTTGTGTCACACTCACAGAAGTCCTGAGTGAATGGTTCTGATTTGGGAGCAGCACCCTTAACTACAGAATTATTATTTTGAGAACAGGAAATCTGAAACACAACGGTACAACACAAGCAAGATCTTAAAATTTGGAAATGCCCCAAATCAAATGAGCATTTAATCATGAGGACACAAAAACAAGCTGACCAGCCTATTTTTGCCCTTTTGTGCTTTTAAAGGGGCTGTTATCTAAAGCTGTGAGCTGGTTTGGAAGAGCTATGTTGAAACTGCTTAGCTGTACCTTATGATACCACCAGGAGTGAAACACAAACAAGCTGCCTAGTAATTGGCCAAAGTTTTGCACCTTGCCCTTGGAGCAAGAGGTTTAACTTACATCTCTCTTTTCACCAGGGGGGTCTCTCCTGCTGCCTGCTGGAGAGAAGAACTGAAGATAGATGACTGTCCCCAGCTGATATTTCACTGGGAAGATGCAAAACTGTTTGGTTACAAGACACCAAAGAGAAGGTACTTTAGAGGGAGAGGGAAGCAGAGAGTACCTGGAGTTATGCTCCTGACCTCTCCCACACCAGTCAGGGGCAGCAATCCTGTCTAGTCACATCCTGCTGACAAGCATATAAATACTCAGCAGGACAGAAGGAAAATTGAGCAGTGATGTTATTTGCCCTGAACTCCTCTGGTTTCTGGAATTCAGTGTCTATCCTTGGCAGGTGAGTACCCTTGAATCTGTTGCTGTGTGCCTCCTGAGCGYAGGCAGGGCATCCTCCCTGCCTTCAGGCTTGTAGACAGTAGCACAGCTACAAAGCTAAGTAGARAAGAAAAAATACTGTTTACAGGAACAGACCCAAAACTCCACCTCTTGTTGCTCAGATAGAGGCAATGCTTATTTATACAGATGATGCTGAGGAGGGATAAGATGCAGAGAATATTCCTGTCTTTTTTTTTACCAATGTAGGTCAGAACAGCATTTTTTAACTTCAGAAACTGAAGCTAGCACTGCTGATACACAATTACAATGTTCTGGGCTTTCAATTCCTTCATAAGCTGGAGAGTAATTATTTCCTTTGCTCAGTRTATTTAGCAAAATAATTATAATTCACTAGATTGTTTTCTTTGCTTTGGTATAYTGGCATAGTTCTTTCTCCCTGTTTCCTTTCATAGCAACTGTGGTGTTATTTTTACAGGCATATTTGGGCGGGGAGGAGGGATCACAGATGAGAAAAAAAACCCTAACTATTTTCTGACAGAAATTCCACTTGAAGAATTGTTTCTAGATCCCCCAAAAGAAAAGATCAAATCTATAGAAGAAATAACTGTGAAGGCAGATGTTTTACTGCCTGCTGGATGCAAATTCTCCCTGCTCTGTCCATAGGGGTGAGTTAAACACAGCATCTTCCTAACCTGTGTTCTCTGAGGTCACAGTACCAGAGGAAGAGAATTAGTAACAAACCTACCCATAAGCCTGAATACCCCTRCTGCATTCAACAGGAGCTGTGATTCAGCTGTTTGATGCCACTTACAAGAAGGTAGCATAAAGCTCATGGGTCAGCAACAAGCCACCCAGGTACCACAAGTCTCATGTTTAAGATACAGGTGTACCTTAAGCAACAAACCCATTTTCAAYTTGGGATTTCAGGTATCACTGATTGCCTGAAACCTGGCCCCCTTTCCAACCGGCTTCCAGAGGCAGCACATCCAAAAACCCATCTAATGGCTCTTTCCCTTCATCTTTCCATTTGTTTCTGTGCAACTGGGTTATTATTTTAAATTATTTCTGTTATTTCTCATTAAACCTGGCATTCTGGGTTTGATGTTTACTGCAGTCTGCACTCAAGCTAATTTGCAGGGAGAGGTCTTTCCTGCTGTTTTGAGCAGATGGGGTCCTCATCTCTTGAGACAGGTATGTACAGCCATGACTGATCGCACCCAGGGGGATGTCATGCACAAGGCTTCTTTCAGGAGGAGGCCTGGAACATCCCCAGTTGGCTACTGGAGATACACTAGAGTATTTTTAACAACAGACTCAAAACCTTATTCTTTCTCACAGGATTATTTTTGAAACTATTTTGGTGCTTTTTGTTCCACTCAATATTGCAGAAACATGCTGCATAGAAATCACTGACGTAAACACTGACAAAGGAGCAGAGAAGTGGAGGGGGAAGGAGGAGAATTAGGCTGGCTCTACTTCTTCCCCCTTATTTTTTTTTTAAATAGCATCTCCTTACCAAGTTCAGGACAACAATACATTTTGCTTGTGGAGATTTAGATGTTTTTCCACTGCAAACAGGGTGCGAGGTTGGGAATGGGAGAAGGGATATACGTGCAAATCAATCTTATCCTTTAATGGATTTGCACTCACAGCATGTCCCACAGCACACCATTATAAGCATTTACAACAGACACAGTGATCACATTTCTGAAGCCTTTATCTTCTGCCCATAGAAGTCAGCARCCATAAGGATTACATTTCATACCTTAATGAGAGCTCAGTCCCAACAATTCCGTGTTTCACACTGCCTGTTTTGTCTTAATGGAAACATACCTTGCACGGTTTAGTGAGAACACTCCTCCCTCCTCCCTTCTCTACCTTAACAGCTTTTTAGGCAGCTGTGTCCTCATGAGTTACACAGGTATGATTTTTATTGTCTATAAAACAGAAAAAACTGTAATTATTCGCCATTTACTTCAGACACATTTCAATGGATGTGATGCATCTATGCCTTCATTAATTTTGTGCAGTGGGCACAAAATATGATGCTTCAGAAGGGAAACTGGAAGAAAAAGAGTATTATGGGCACAATACCCTTTCCAAATGCTTAAGTGAAATATTTGAAACAGAGAGTTGATAGCAAAGTTATGTCATGCAGTAACATATTTCATGCTTATTCCTTTTTCTTTTCAGACTTCTGAACAGGACCAGTAGCAACAGCTTTATAATGAAAATGTTTAAATAGAGTATGATGAATATTACAAGATTTTCACCTGTCCTACTTTCCAGTCATGAGGAAGCAGGCATGTTACTGGACCATGAAGCAAGCACCCACTGCTAAKGTCAGGGACAGTCACTCTAGCAAACTCAACTCGATCCAACCCTCAGCATTCATGGAGCAGCTAGTGGTCTGCCCTGCAGCCCAGCTGCCAGCTCTGCCCTTTCTGCTCTTGCACAACCTGCAGCTTCCCATTCTCAGGAYAGCAAAACCTACTGGTGCCATCCTCACTGAGAAATCTCCAGGCTTGTTTAGGCCACTAAAGCAAACTGCTGCAGCTCAGAGAGCACCATTCTCACTGAAACATGCRTGGTGCCTGCACTGCACAGCCATAGTCAGACCTGATGAGTGCTCACAGAGGACAGTGCTGCTTTCTCTCTTGTTTCATGGAGGCACACCAGCACAGCTTCACACTGTGAAGCCCCAGCTTTTTCCCCAGGCAGCTGAGCTGCACTTTCTGCCACAGTGAGACAACCAGAGCTCACAAGTCAGATTAACACTTACCTGGGCTTGCGAAGGTCTGAAAGCAGAGTCAAAGCCATTCTGCAGAGAGTCCAGAAAAGGCTGGATTTTGTAGAGGCTATGCACTGTCTGGCTTGAGCGGAAGGCCACAATGTGGAAGTACTTCAGAATCTTCTCAAACCGTGATTGTGTCATGATAAGTGCAATGCTCTTGTTGCTGTAGAAGCCGCTGCTCCAGATGCTGAGAACAGACTCACAGTGGTGGATGCTGGTTGATATCATGTAGCCTAAAAAGGCCTTCATTTCTGTCAAGGTGACGTCAATCCAGGCATCGTCACTACCAAACCTCTCCTGGTATTTCTTGGCATACATATTGGTTTGGACCACCATATTCTTTAGTACATTGTCAGGGACAAAGAGCTGAAAAAAGTCCATGGCACTGGCACTCAGRGGCATTTTTCGTGTTGGACCTAGAACAAAAGCAAGAAGGGAAGATAGGCAAACTCCTGAYCACCACAAGGCATGCCCAACACTAGAAACTAAAAGCATTATTAACTTTTCTAATGCAAATGATGACAYGTACCCATTGTCTGACAGATTTCATCAGGAAACCTCCCCTCCCCCCATATTCCTCCTCCTATATGATACCATACACTCTGACAAGTTGCTTCCTCTACTTTGCACACTCATTCGTTTGCAGCATGCAGGCCTGTGAGACAAGCATGCATTTTATTTCTCCACTTATGCACGATCTGCAACTTTTATCCTCAGCAGCTGTTTTAGCCTTTTTCTGGATAGTCTTTTATTTGTTCATATGAGTGTCAAAGCAGTGCCTTCCTCCAAACAGCCCTGAAGGACAGYGTGAGTCCTCCAGAGATAGCGCTGCCCTCATCCCAGATGACAAGATTCCTAGGCTCTAGAACCYGATCCCACCTTTTCTCTGGTATCTCTAACTCCTGCCCAGTTCAYTGTCATTAATTCTGTGACTTTCAAATCTATCTCTGCTCCACACAGAGTCACATACAGATCATGTTTACGTTTTTGAGTTCAGTGTCTGCCACCACACTGGAGTCTAACCCTGCACTCTAACATCCCCAAGAAAGCACATTACCAGAACATGTCACAGCTATCATGTGGCTAGTGTCACTCTGCCACGTCACAGGGAATATTTTTAGCACTACAATGCATGCAGTGGTCATCTTCCTCCCATAATGTAATAAGCCTTGCAATCCCATCCTGTGATTACTCTAGCTTTTCACTGATCTTGCACCTTCTCTGCCAGTTTCAACTATTCCATAARAGTGAAAAAATTAAAAAGGAAGCTCCAAGGGTTAGCAGCACGGTGTCAGTGTTACAAGGTGAGCTAGTCAGACACCAGATTACATGAAGCTGAATTAGGAACATCAAACGTGCAACACCAGGTTTGGTGGTCTACACCACTAGTCTTTACAGCCCTCTCTCCTCTAATCCCTTCCACAAGCCAACCAAATTCAACTCCAAAAGTAGTAGTTTTCATGCTTGCAGCTCGTGGCAGTGTTTTAATCACCAGGTAARGGCAGGGGACACTCTCTATTCTACAGAAGCCATGAAAACCAATACCCCTGAGAGGAGCATCCTCTGCAAACCCAGTGGACAGGGGAGCTCTTAAAAGCAGCTCTACACCCTCAAAAGACAGTGTCATTAGTATAATCCYGTGGATCTTCTGGATCCAAGAAACACCACACCTTAGTCCAGCAGCCTTGGGACTGTCTGAAACACTCCTCCTAATCAAAAATACAGCTTCTCATTTGCAGTTCTGCCCAACAAGAGCGAGTCTTTCTTGTTTGGATCCACAAGATCCAAAGAGCGAGTCTTTCTTGTTTGGATCTCAGCATCAGCTCTCCCGGCTGGATCAGAATACGAGATTGACCATTCCACAACCTGGCTCTGCAAAGATCCACTACCATGTTGGTCAGGTTGCATTCTCCCTGGATCTCAGTTCACATTCTTAGTTACAGCAACAACTATAGCTTGCAGAAATTTCCCATGAAACAGAATTACAAGGAATTACAGAAATACTGTGGTTGAAATTGMTCTCAAGCCTTAATGTTTGGGTGCACTCTGGTGAACTCAAGGTACTAGAAAGGCAGAAAAAATAGCATCAGACTTTGAAACAGTGAACCTCCAGACTGTAAAGAATGCCAAAAAAACAAACAAAACTGGATTTTTTTTTAATAAGTGCAGTGGGGAAAAGCCATCTATTTAAAGATCACTTTCCAATTTTAATTTGTCAGACTGAGAAACTTTCAGTTGAAAGCACATTCCTCTATATTGTACAATCAGAGGAAGGAGCCCCACATAAACCATGTTTTGGTAAGGACAGAAGAGAAAATTTCAATTTAAATAATAAAAAAGTTTTCATTATTAGGTGAAAACTGTGGGTCCAGAATAAACATATTTACCTAACTTTAGCTAGTAGTGCAATAAAAAATCTGCTTAGCAAAAAGTTTTCTTCTTTTGATCAGGAGGTTAATTTTCTGCTAGCAATGGCTTGACTGTAATAGCTCACACAAGATGCTCCATGAATGATTCTGTATGAACAACTTAGAGTACCTTCCTTCATTTTTCCCCACAACTTAACCAAGTTTTTATATTCTACAGCAGATATGGCTTTGTACTAACAACACGTGGAACAAAGTATATTCCTAATTGTATATGAAATCTTGAGTAGCTAGTGAACTCAACACCAGTGCTCAGGCCTTTCAGGTAGTACACAGAGACAGTTTTTAAATTCCTGCCTTCAGAATCAGAACCTGGGAGTAGGGGCAATGTTTTAAGTCTTGTCTAGAGCAAACAAGTATTCATAAAGCACTAAGTCTTTCGAAGTGAATTATGTTTGTCTTGAGACTTGTGGATATGGACATAAGGTGGATGCTGGACTCTCTCTTTAGGGAGTAATGAGCAGTCAGAAGCACAGAAATKTAACTTTGGTGGAATTACATTTTCAGCAGCTGCACAAGGTTACCTACCATAAGTGATTACAGAACCCTGACAGATATACTGGATAGGACAACCCTTTCCTACCCAGCAGTCCTGCTCCAGAAACAGYGAACCTGCTACCTTGTCTCCCCCCTGAAATAAGTATGCAAGCTTAGTAGCCCACTGATCATGCAGAACTCACACAGCTCCAAAAAGCAAGCTGAATCACTTTCTGTCTCAAACATCAACATCATTTTTGTTGATTAAATAAAATTATGGAAGCCTCTGTATAATCTCACTGTCTTAAAAACCACCATTTATTAGCAAAGTGAGTGCAACTGATTCATAATTTACTGATATGCAATATAACAAGAGCAACATTGAATTTCAGTAGGAAAATAACTGAATTTTTACATGATTTGTGTTTTGCATAGTTAATGACAGCCTAAAATATTTAAATACGACTTTCTAAGTACATAAATATATCCCAYAGAGAGAGCTAACTGTCTGCATAAGGAACTTAAATAGCTTATTTGTACTTTTTTAGGATTTTTACATTGATTTAAATGGCACTTACCCAGAAAATACTGACATGAAAAGAGTTCAGTGTTTCATGCATGCACTGTTTACCTTTCAAAGCTTTAYTCAGTCAAGTGAATGAGTGGCTTTACCTAGTTGTCCATTCTCAGAATGATTATACAATTATGGCTGTATGTAAAATTCAGATTTTTCTCTCTCCTCTACTATAAAGTATGTGCATTGAGAATATACTTTGCTTTCATAGAGTTTTCTGCTTTAAAAGCCAGTCAGGTTTTCCAATACAAATTACAGAGACAGAGCCCAAAAGCACTCTTGAGTGTCCRAACACACAACCACACCCAGTATTCCATGCACAGTCAGGACAGACACAGAGCTCCACTGAGTAATGTTCTGACTGGGCAGCACACACACCAGCACAACAACTTTGGGCTTGCTCTAAGTGACCTTGTAGGATGTGGAAAATARCAAACAACTTCTGTTACAACATACACACACAAGCTCGTGTTTCTTCTACCTCTGTCTGCCAGAAAACACTTGCATTTGCAATCTGCAACAACCACCTTGCAAGTCATTAGTGCTATTTTGACTAGGCAGTTCCATTTTCTATTTCACACTCAGAATGAATGTCTCCCACAGAGAGACATTTAAATTTGTAACAACAGGGTTAAAAGACATGAAATAAAAAAGCAGGAATAACCATTGGTGTGTCCGTATTGGGAAGGAGAGGCTGGCAGGTTGCCCTCAGAGTGTGTGCATTGCAGAGGCCATTTGGCTGAACTTGGCTCAGGGCAAACTGCAGCTGCCTCACTGGGTCTGGTGTGCAGCAAGAGAGCAGGCTGCACATTCAACTTCTCAGCAAACATATCCACYGCAGAAAACCCAACAAGATTTAAGAAAAAGTTCAGGTGGAACTTCTGTGTGACCATCCTTCAGGCAGCCCTTGCCTGTCCTCCTACAATCTCTGGTCTTTTCTTTCTGGTCCCCATATTCACCTCCTGCTTCAATCCCTTTCTAGAGTTCCTCACWGCGCAACATGTTAGGAAAAAAATAAGAACTCCAACTGAATTAAATGCTTTCTCCTTACTTAACCGATTTGCAGAACTAAGTAATTTGAGTGCATTTTTAACAGGTTCATGCAYCCTTTCCCATTTTTTCTGTTCAGATTACCAACCTGTAATTTAGTAGCTCAGAGCTGAGACTGAGAAAARAGGATGGACAAAAGATGGAAAGTTTCAAAACATATTGTAACCTACCAGTGCTTACAACATAGCATATAAATCTTAAGAAGGTCAAAAGCATTATCATTTTGGGCAGGATAAAGCAGATGTGTAATCAGAAAATGCAGTAAAAGAAAGTTCTCCTTTTGCTCTGCTGTGCAAAAGACTTTGCTYTCGCTCAAAGTAATCCAGGTCCATGATAAAATATCCCATTATGTTGACAGGCCCAGGTGTTACCATATGTATGATAATCCAAACTGCATGGTTTGTAAACAAACCTTGTGCAGAGCAAATCACGGCTGACTCAGGAATTATTGCAACTTCATTAACAGTGTGGCAGACCCCAATACTGTCCAGTCAAGCACAGGAGTGGTACAAGCATCCGTACAGGAATTTACAAGTAATTTTACTGTCTTCTTTGAGGAAAGATCTAACAGTTTATAGCCACCCATGAAAATAGCACATTAAGTGTATTTATGAAGATACATGCCCAAGAAAAATAAATCCAGAAACTCTTTTTTTTTCAGTCATTGGGAAGTACTTTCTCCTCCAACACATGGTATAACTTTCAAAACCCAGGGTTTGAAACCCAATTAATTCCTTTTTCCTWAGTCCAAGCAATTAGAGACTGTTTTATATTCTTGACAAGTTACCTTTGCAAAAGTGAACAACATGATTTTTGGGTCTTATTTAGAGAACATCAAAAAATGCTGACAGATGCCTTTTGTCAGAAAATATACATCTATCAAAAACAC